GTAGAGAGAGAGAGAGAGAGAGAGAGAGAGAGAGAAAAAGATTGAAGAAAAGAGATTAAAAACTTAAATACTTCCAATTCAATCTAAATCCATTTGTTTTAAATTATATTTCCAACTTTTAAATGTTAAAATCTTATAATCACTTTTTTAAATTCTCTTCAAAATAAACATTTAAACAGCGATTACTTCCATATTTTATTATTATTCTCCAAGCGATCTCAATCATTTTATGTGACAAATTCGGAACATTTATTGTTAAAAGGAAGAGATATAAACAGACGAGAATAATTCGTTAGGAACAACATGTCAACATGAACGTATGACCTTGTTTATGTTATCGGACCACTAAGATTACATCCTCTTAACTATATACACAACATTTAGTTTTTCCTAATAACACCTTTTATAGTTCTTAATATTTAAATAATTTCTTTCTTTACTATCATTATACTACTACTATCATTATCATTGATACTATTATTAACATTATCACTATCGTTATTACAATAAATGTTAATAATAATAAATGTTAATTAATTAACATTGATAATAAATGTTAATTATTAATTATCACAATAAATGAAGTTCAATTGTGAAGTTCGATATTTGTTTAATTTACTGTTTCATAATTGCAGGAAGTATTTGACAAGAGTTCATAAAATTATATCTTCTAATAGTGATAATATTGGTACTGCTATGTTGTTACTGTTCACAGGTTCACAGGCGCAATTGTATTAGTTGTCCTGCAATGATTTTTTGTCAGTTAAATATGAATGAGTTAGAATATCTATGAGATGAGATTAGCAACAAATGCTTTTATGCCTTAAAACATATTCATACTACATTGACCTTTAACCCTTATGCGTTTAATTCACAAGATAATGAAATGTTTTTGTTAGAGTCGATAGACTAATTGAGAAACTAATTGAGAAACTAAATGTCCTAAAATTCAAAATTTTGATTTGCTGCTTCATCAATTAGTTTCTCATATGGCCCTAAAATTCTCTGTTTGCCGGAACTCTTTCCGGATTGTGTTCTGGAAGCTAACTTGGCTATCTTCTTCGGAATGTGTGAGTTTGATAATAATTCTAGTGTTTTCTTTCTTGCAGGGAAATTCACTACCATAGCATTATCCAGTGGCAAAATTAGTGCTATGAAGAATCTATAGGTAGTTCTGGTAGTAGTTGCCAGAATAAAGTATAAAAATAAGACCAAATGAGGTACCATTTTTGATTGTCATCATAGTTAGAGATATCTGTCACATAGGAAAATTATGAGATTGGATTAGTAAATGAAGTATGATAGTAGTTATTTCCTTATTTTTGAAATGAATATATGAGATGTTAGCTATCCGGAGGAAATGAATTTTGATCTTAAAATATTTGAAAATTTTTTTCAAATCTCACAATTTTTTTTTTCTCATAAAGCTTTTTTGGAATTTCCAAAGAGTATGAGAATTTTTTAAAAAAGTTAGCACAAATTGCTTGTCAACGATATAACTTCTTAAAACTTCAAAATTAAACTTACTTTTTTCTCGATGAAAATATTCTCGTATGTGAAACTTTGATGGATGGTTTGGCGGAAAATGATCAAAAAATCGGCGTTTTAGTACAACCAATTTCTGCTAATTTTGATGTGTAATGAGAAAAATTTTTTTGCTTAGAAGAAATGAAATGTTGAATTCATTCCAAATTTTTTCTACGTAAACGATATATTTCCACATTTTTTTCCCATCTTAAAAAAAACGTCGGTTCATTCTTGATTGATTGCGCCCATTTCTTCATGTCTCTCATATTTAGTACTATTTAGATTTAAAAGCTTCAATCTCGACAGAAATTTAAATTTAAAAAGGATTTTTGATTGACTATTATTTGACCAATGAACACAATGCTTTCTCAGTGACCAACTAATTGGTTCTTCTTTTCTGTGAAAATATTTTGCGTAAAAAACGTTTTCGAATAATAACCAAATCATCATCTATTTCTTCACCATTATCGTTCAGGCCTTCAGAATAATGACACGTTGAACACAGTCATTCCAGTCACGCTGGCCCCGACATTTCATACCTTTCATACCTTGTAAATACATGAATCACTTTAGAGAGACAGTCTTCCCTTCGGGATACCAATCAATGATCAGTAAATGAAACCGTCAAATTATTCAGGTTATGATGATTCCAACCCACCGGTCCATTTTTCCTGATTTTTGAGAACACATTTGCATTGACTTCTTCCTAACTATTGATATTTATAACTCATTCTCAGGATATTTTCCGGACCAGGAAATAAACTGTGTATCAAAGGAAAGCAAGTTGCATGCATTGATAGGATGTGTTATATCAGGATTAGCAAAATTCGAGCTGCATTTTGCATGTTGCATGCTGTCCTATTTACTGCAGTTACCTATGCCATTTCAACAAATACAAACAGAGAAATGAGGAAAAGAGTATCTTTCGAGTTTTCGTGTGGATATTTTTAAAAAATGTTGTTTTCAAAATTGCATTTGACTTTGCTACCTCCTCCTCTGAATCATCCATTTAGTTCACATCCCTCTTCCTTCTCTTCACTTACCTCTCCTCAATAACGATACCTACAGACAAATCCATTCACCATTCACTAAAACCATCCTGGAAACTACTTATAACACCTCATATACACCACCACACACACACATACACACACAGACACAGACACACACACACACACATATGTTGCACATCATCGCTCAACAGCACTTTTGCTCGAACGCCCCATCTTGACTTGTTCTGTTGTCGTTTGGTCGGATGGAAGTACATCGGTGTATGAATCGTTTGCCATTTATGTTGGCGTTAAATCAGGTTTAACTTGGCGCTTAACAACAATTTTGCTTCTACTTTGAAGGTCATTTCGTAATTTTACATTTCGAGCGATATATTAGAGGAATAAATGACACATTGATTAAAAAGCGGATCTCCCAATTACCCGTACAAGACGGGGTTTAAATCTTCTAACTGTTTAATACAATTAAATGAATAAAACTTACTTGTAGAAATGCTCGTTTTTATACTATCTCGCAGTAAAATTACTTTAATTTCAAGTGATCTTATTATTCAATCTAATACTCCATTTGACTATTTATAGGGATCGGGCGGGCTTTTCCCAAGAATTCCTTTTCTTTTCTATCGCAACCTTTCTATGACTTTATTTCTAGTACAGAATACATGTCGTTACTCAAATTAATTTAAAACATTCGTTGGTCATTCCATCTAATAATTGATCACTTTACATTTGCAAAATTTACGCTTAATTTACGTTTGTGATTTGCGACATCGTTCCATATAATTAATATAATTTGGTCACTGAACAACAATACTGGATTAGTTAGAAAGGGACTTTCAATTGTGATTAAGTGATGTTTGAATTATTGAAATAATGTCGTGGACGGTATTTATGCGACAAAACCATTCATTTGACAGTATCACATTTTGTATGTGTCAATGAAATGAACCGTCATCGATCTTAGTTCACATTCTCATTTTATTGCTTCTCCTTTTCCTTTATGAATTCTTCATTTTAATGTTCATTAACGGTTCCAAACTCCAATTTCGATTTTTTTCTGGTGAAAATTTGTTTTTATTTTTTATTTTAAAGAAATACCTCAGTGTGACATGTCCTCATTCTCTCATCTTTTCATTTTTTCAGTATTAGTTTTGTCAAACACTCCGATTATTGATAATCTAATAATAATTTGATGATAGAATAGTTTAACACGAATGTCATAATATTCTGCCTCAACTAAATTCTGCTGCGCCATCCAAGATGTTTGACATGCCTTCCGGCATAATCAGTATTTGCTGCAGGATTTCCGGCTTGCTCTTCATGCTGTCCTTTATCACTAGTAAGATGAATTGCACTCAAAGATGTCCCTCTCTTTTCCCGGAATAACTAACTCCGGAATATCCATTACTGATATATTCACGAGGAACTACTACATTGCATAGCTAATTTTAACGGGCCACTCATTTGAACTTTCAAAAAGATTTGCCGCGGTTTGGGTGACCCCAGGGTGAAATGTCCCTTGTAGCCACTGGTAGCGGGGCAGTGGCGGGGAATAAAAGGATGGCTCAGATTTCCCTACTCAATTTCTGTTTAGCTTCCTTTCCTTTGCCGAATTCTGTCCTTTTTTCTCTTTTTTCGTTTATTCGGTCAGATAATTACTGTATGCTTTTAAATTGTCATTTCTTTCATGTCCACTTTCCGGATCAGTTTCTGAATTGGCTGTTTTTTTTCGATTTGATTTCTCGCTTGTTGTATTTTTTCATGCTTCGATTCATTGGTGGAAAACTTACATTGTTTTTGTCCCTACGCTATTCTTGTTTCTGGATCGATTACCACTTTGTTATTTTCTTTTTAGTTTGACCCCTGTACACGGTGTTTCGACTTAACCAGATCCATTTTCGAATTTATCAAGCTTTTTTAGCTTATTCCTGAATTTGTATCCTCTATTTATCGTTTTTTCAATATTTGTATAGCTATCCTTTTTCCTGTTTTGTTTTCAAGGAATGCCATTTTCAGTTGAAATCGATAAGGAGATTCGGAAAAGTTAACCCATCCTGGTAGCATGTCGTGAAAAGCTCAGCAATAGTTCAGAAAAATGAGATTTCAGCTTTTCTTATATCTTTTCAGGTTCGGAGCTTGGTGAGCTATCATTTCATACTCTCTGTTTGTAAAGATGAGTAAGAAGTGCGCCCGAGAGGAGTGTGGTAAAACTGTTTATCCACTTGAAGAATTGAAATGCCTCGACAAGGTAAACTTCTCGAAATCCATTCCCACATTTCCTTTCACTTTCCAAGTTTTATTTCATTCTATGCAACGACACTTTTGGGACAATAATTGATTCTAATATTTTCGGTGTAAATTAAGTTTAGTTACTTTTTTACGTCATTAAATCAATTACTGCTAATGTAACTGATGACTGAATTCGGCGATGAGTTTTTGAGGTTGAAGTTCAAAGTCTTCTCTTGCAGGATAGTTGATTCAGGACCATGCTGTTAGGATGGAGGCTAGGAAGGAGAAGGATGGGAAGTTAAATGACATCATATAATTTTCCTAGTTTGACTTCTTTAGTATTTTTAATCGTTGAATCATTTTAGTAATGTTTCAGTTGATATTACTGGTAATATTACACTGGGTAATTCATTTTAGGTTTGGCATAAAGGTTGCTTCAGGTGCACAGTATGTGGGATGGTTTTGAACATGAAAAATTATAAAGGATATGATAAAATGCCGTATTGCGAACCGTAAATTTTACTGCTTCCATTTTTTCAAATTCTAATTTTTTCAAATATTTCTTAATGCTTTTTTTTCTAAAATTTGTTATTTTTGCAGTCATTATCCAAAAACAGTAGCATCAGTAGTTGTCGATACACCGGAAATGAAGCGTTTGGCAGAAAATACCAGATTGCAGAGTCAGGTATATCTTGATTCAATGTTTTTAGTGATATGGTTTGTTTTCTTTTTTAAGTGTGGTAACTGGGAAATGATTATAGCAGCTATGTCCATTTAAGTGATTGTAACAGTTGTTAAGAGAGGGAACTATAAAAATAAGATCAATTTCCGGAATTACTCTAATTTTAGTGAATATTTGGTTTAGACTATTTGAAATGAGCTAAATTACTTTATTCTTCTGTCTATGTAAATCAATCGCACTGAACAAAGTGTTTCAACTTATTGAATATCCTTTTGCATTTTTATTTCTTAAAATGATGAATTTCAGGTTAAATATCATGAAGAATTTGAGAAATCGAAGGGGCATAGAATTCAAGTAGCTGATGATCCTGAATTGACTCGTCATCTTCAAAATACCAAAATTCAATCTCAGGTACCAGCGGGCGTGGTTAAGTAACGTGAAATGAAGAATGTATAAAGCATCTAATATTAAATAGCTTCATTTAGGAGTTCCAAATTAATTTCTCTATGATTCATACTTGGTGACCACAGAAGGCATTATTGTTGATTAAAATGAAATTTGTTGCTGAAATTTTTGTTGCATTATTGATTAAAGCGAAATTTATAGTTTGAGTTTCTATATTTCTTGCAAGAACGAAACACTAATTTTCATTCTATTAATTTTTAGGTAGCTTATCATGGTGAACAGAACAAAAAGAAGTTGCAGGATGAGATTCGGCCCCAACCAGAACAGCAAAACATTTCTAATGGCGAAGGTTTTTTTTCTTTATTTTTTATATTCATTTTTTTACTGAAAATGAGCTCAAATTCAATTTGCTGCTGGTTTTTTTGGAAGATTGATTGGTCAGAATCGAATATTGGATTTGGTTACTCATGATATCTAAAATAGGAATTCAATGATATGTATCTTGATAGAATTTTATTCCTTAATTTTATAATAAAATACTATGGTTTTTATTTTTATCCGTTTGCTTTAAATTTTGACAATTTGAAATAAATGATTTTCGTATATGAAGAAATGCTGTTATTTTTCTTCAAATCACTCTTATTTTTTTTCCTTAAGTTTAGCCAGCCTTGTTATTGATGCTTTTTCCCATCTAGCCTATAAGAGTTTATTTATATTCATGACAGAGCTAAATTCGAGAAGTTTAAAAGGAACGTTTTGAAAGTCTTCAAGAAAATAACTTCATATCGAGAGTTGATATGTAATCGATTTTCCAGAATTGCAAGTCATACTTCTAATATTTGTTGGCTCACCTTAAATGACAACAAATTTGAAATTGTTTCTTCTGTTGTTAAATGAGGGTTGAGCTATTTTACTTGATCATTTCTTGATCGTCTTGAAATACCGTTGGAATTGGAAGGTAGGAACAAACGGTAAATATTATCATTTTGTTAAAGGCTATGATTGGTAAAACTTTTCGGTTGAAGGCGGAATAATTTTGTAGGTAGGGAATCTGTGAAGCAGAAAACCACTGTTTCGGGTTTGACGGAGCCTCAAATCCATCGTTGAGCTAGCCTGCCAAGAACCTAAGCGAAAGAAAAAAGAGATTTAGGTGGAGAAGAAGGGAAAAACGTGAAGAAAATGAAGCTCATAAAGTTCTTGGCTGTGTTATTGCTTCTTTTTTCAACTAAGGTTCATCTTCGCCATGTAGTAGTTGAGGAACAGCTTAACCATTGAACATTTTAACAAAGATAGTATTATTTTTGGTTTAGATATTGCTATTAGTTCTGCGACAGGATGGGATCTATCAAGAAGATTGACATTTCTATGTTAAATTGTACGTACTTTATCGGGATTTGTCTTAATTTGCTTATTTGTTTCTTACACTCTTCCTCCGCTGAGTTCCTAATTCCTATTTACAAATCCAATTAATCATTTGCATGCGCTTTCAGTGTCTTTGAATGCTAGTAGTGTGCCTGAATCACCTTCAACGTATGCCCCGCCCTTATCTGCTGCTGCTCATCATCAGCCAACAACGCCGTATTCCAGTAAACTTGCACGACAATCCGGAACTCTAATTTATTCATCCGAACAAGGTGGCAAAGGTATCTATATCAGTATCAACGTATAGATATATGCATATATTTTTGCGAAATTCATTCAAGAGGTATATGAATTTCTAGAAATATCGGTTTGGATAAGTTTGTGAGGAGAGTACTTTTGCGTTATTCAGCTTTTTCATCACATTCAGTCGTTTGGCTTTTTAACGAATGCGAAAGATATGGGTTTTTCTAAATTTTCTTCCGACTACATCTTGCAAGGATGCATTTAAGTCTTAAAATGAGACTAAATATTAACATGAAAGTAAGTATAAGACCATAAGTGTAACACAAAAAAGCATCGAGTGCAAAGATATTTGAAATCTCTTTATTAACATTATTGTTTGTATGTGAATGCCGAAGTTTTTTCCTTATGGAAATTGCTTAACATCAATAAATAATTTTCTGAACTAATACTTCATTTTGTTTCGGTTATAAATTTTCAAATTATGGTTGAAAAGATTTCCAAAAGTGTTTTTTGCTATGTATTTCAATATTTCACTTTTTTGGCACTTGCTTCTACGGATTCAGACGCCATTCAAACATAAGTAGAAGTGAAGGGGTAAATTTTCAGGAAAAGTATCAAGTATAATTTTTATTTCCTTGTAAGTTGTTGTTCAGGAAAAATTGAATATCTTGAAAATTTTTTTAAAGTTTCAAACAAAACTTTTTTTTTTGCTACGAAATAAAAAAGTATGCGAACAAAGAATGAATGGTAGACAAAAGAAAGCTAATTCTAAGCATATTTAATTATTACAGTGCCTATCCAACAACGTCAGGTTGGTAGCATAGCTGACTATGATCCTTTAAACGGGAATTGGGGTACGGTAGGATCGAGTCGAACAGCTGAAAAAATTGGTATGATCATTTCTCTTTTTAATTGATACGTCTTCTCTGTTTCTAATTTTTTTGTTTACTTCCTTATCCTTATTTTTCACGATTTTTTTTTTTTTTTTTGGAATATTAGTAGATATCATATTAGCTGCATTGCTGATAGTGCAGTAGTAAGAAATCGAGAACAGTGGAAAAGTATTTCGCTGCATCTGCCTGCATATTCAATCATTTAGTGACGACAAATGTACTGCACATTGTTTTCATTGAATTTCGCATGTGTAAAAGTTTAAATCACTTGAGAATACATTTTCCAATTCATTAAAAGGAATATGAAAGTATAAACATGTGCGACTTCAATTATGAAGAACGCAGTGTTTCCTGCCATCCTATGATTTTACTTCAGTGATTACCGGTAATTAACAGTTCCATTCGGCTTAAGCGAATCAATCTAATTTTGGACTGAAACACCTCAGGAAGGATGTAAGAGTAATAATAAGCACAAAATTCTCAATGATGAAAGGCGGGATATATATAAGTGAAAAATTTTATATTTGCGTATTTGTCCTATATGTCAAAGTTGTATATAATTTGTTACTTGAACTTATTCAAAACTTCACCATTGAAGGATTTTGCAAAAGTTCGGAGTTAATTTTGATCTTATATAGCAGATTCTTTGAGTCGCAGGTTTCTTTGATTAAAAGTGTTCAAAATTTGTTTCAGTCAGTGCTTAGCTCATACCAATGTGCTTTACTTTTTTATTGATCTCATAAAAATCTTATTTCAGGTCAGCTGACAGCTTCAAATATTGGAATAGGATCGGATATAAAAGGAGCTAGCCGACCAGGTATGAAAGGAACGGGCTTTACAGTGAAAGCACTTTATGATTACACTGCTGCTGATAAGGATGAGGTCGGTAATATGGTTTTGAAGTTATGGTTTGTTTGTTTCCGTAGGCATCTGTGATAATTAGTATTGTCAAAGCACTCCAAGATTTGCAATAATATATTGGAAAAGCTCAAACGAATGGAATTGGCCAGTGGCGAAGGCAAAACTATTAACCTGGCATAGTGAGAATAGCCTTTGGCTCTGGAAAAGATCCTAATATAGATAATCACCGAATAACTGTGTTTATTTTACACAAAATTCATAATTTGGAAGTGAACTTTCATTTCAGGTAACATTCGTTGAAGGCGATATCATCGTAAATTGTCAGAAGGTTGATGAAGGCTGGTTAACGGGCACTGTGCAAAGAACACTGCAGTGGGGAATGTTACCCGCAAATTATGTGGAAAGAGTTAAACAGCCAACAGGGCTTCATTATCTCAGCTGAGCTTTTCAGTGCTAGGTTTATTTTGCATGGCTTGCTTCTTTTTCTTTTTTCTAGCTTGAATATAACAATATCGTTACTAGAGTTACGTGTTATTAATATCAACTTTTCAATGGGATTAGGAGCTGCCTAGATGGGACTTTTTAACTGAATTGCTTATCTTTTAAAAGAATAGGGAAAACAATTCCCAACTTCCTGGTACTTGTTTTACAACAAGCTGTATGACGAATTATGACTTATCAACATACTTTATATATCATGTTATTCTTCATTATACAATGTTCGGCACTACTGATAAAATGACAATATTATGCACTAAAATTAAGTAGAATCTTCAAGTTTACTCCACTTCTCACTCATTTTAACCTTTCGGGGAACTGCAACCAGGATTTCTTTATGACTTTATGTTCGTTTGAGTTTTAATTATTTGGATTCTGGAGATAATGCTTCTTACCTCATTTACTTTCAAAATTTGTTGAACTAGCTTCACCTCTTCTTTTTTCCCCGTTTTTTTTTAAGTTACTTTACATTTTTCCGATGTGCTGTGATTTTTCTAATTTCCCTTTTAAAATTTTAAATTTTGAGTTGCAACTCCATCAGAATCTGACCTCATTACGATATGGATACTATTGTTTAGTGTCAAAGCATGGCAGGATTGGAAGCTCAATCAGGCGGAAAAGATATTACCCTCTACTAATACTGAAGGCCAGTCGATGTGAAGTATCGAGGCCAAACCATCGGTTGGGAAAAACGAAATAGTTTACAGCTGGCATCGTCAGCCTTCTTCGAGAAGTCAAGGTCGTGTTCGAAGTACAACTGCGTTATTGGGAAAACTGCCATTACCTAAGAATTATGTTGTAAATCCCAACCTACTCTGATTTACTTTCTTCAAGCTTTGCTTTCATTGTCTTTTTTGTCATCGTACTGTGCGACGAGTTCCTTCTTCTAGATTTGAATAACATTTAAGAACTATTATCCCCATTGCTTGTTTTAAGGTAGCGATAATTATCTAGTAAATAGCATATCGGAGTTCTGCATGAATTTTTCAAGTTTTAAATCATAATTTTCATGAACTTCATTGCAGCAGAGAAATTGTATGTTCTACTAACTGCTGGAGTTTTCAGGAAAAAAGTGAATTGAATTTGGGAAGCAGGTAGAACTTGAGTGGAAATCCTGTGCCAGGATCGAGCAGCTCATGCCGCAAATAGTTTTTAATATATTTTTGGACTGAACTTTATGTTCAAGAATGAGCTGTTTTTGCTTACTTCCATTTCTTATTTCTTCGTGCTAACGCGACGCTTTAAATCACTTCAATTAATTATGTATGTACGATAATTATTTATAACGGTAATTGTTTAGAACGGTTCGGATATCAATGCCATAAAAGGAGCGAAGTTTTACTAAGATTTAATTATCCTTAATTTCTTTTTCTAAATTTCGTTTTTACCTTTGTCTTTTCTTTTTTTCGGTATGTTATCCATAGTCATTCATTTTTAAAAAGCATCTTTTCGTAATCCGTTGCGGTCATTGATTATGCATTCTATTCCAAAAAAACTTATTGTGGTTGGAATCAAAGCAGTGGGCTAAAATAGACGAGAAAAGAAAGAGAGAACTTCCTTCGAAAGTGTTTGCGTACATGAATAGTATCTGAATTGAATATTTTTGGAAAATATGGGATTCCGCATATATAGATTTGCATTTTTCTTGGAAGTAATTTTTATCAGCTGAAGGAGAAGCAGCCGTCGTGCAATAATTTTTTTGAAATATGAAATATTTATTGTATGAACAGGGACATTAAGTTCCATATGGATTTATGCCTTTGGCAAAAAGAACTTACTAATGAGCTTATGTATTTCGTTGAAAAGGTTTTACCATAGAAAATTGTGGATTTCCGGATTGTTACTGTTTGAATGAAGTTAGTTTTCTGAATTTTTTTGTTTATGGGTTCTCAGCTCAACAGTTTGTGTGCTGTTTTAAAAACGATTTTTTTCGTTCCAATTTTGAAAATTTCAATTCTTCGTCAAAATAAAGTATGGTCATTTCATCCATGTTTTGTGCCTTTTTTATACGTGAAAGTGAAAATTTTCTTGTTTATTATTGTTTTTTTCTTTTTTTTCGTGGAATTATTTTATCAGTCGGACAGAATTAGTGTTTTTCATAAATTTGATGTTTCACATCGTTAATTGATGCACACATTTCATATTTCTCCGCCTTTGTTTTTGGGTTTTTCTTTTTGTTAGCTATGTATTGGCTAGCTGATTTCACACAAAAATCGAATGGAGTGTTAACTGACTGATTGTCTTTCACGTATTCATTCCGCAGAATTAACCAAGTAATTCAGAAATAAAAATCTAGTTAATTCTGTCTGAAAGAACAAACTGGACGTAGGAGATATTTCTGCGGAAAACCGATTTATTGTAATGAAGAGTAGATCGTAATTTTACCATCGTTTTCCTCTGATTTCTCCGCATTCTTTATTGTCTTAACTGATCTTTTCGGTTGGATTCTTCCCTTTTAATGTTCATGCCCGCTGCTATTTATGATAATGAAATGACACGATTATATCATACTCTTTGTTCTTTGCGTCATAATATATATATCGTCAAGATAAAAAAATACTTATGCCTTGTCACTACATCTTTATTAATATGATGTAGCGTAAGCAATTTCCGACTTATTCAAGTGTAGGCTTTTTGAACTTGTGTGTTCTCTTGGCCATACTGAAGCACTGCTCATGGACCAGGGCACTCTGAAGCGTAATTTGCGTCGAAAAGTACATGGGTTGGAGGGTTTTGCAGGGACTGACGTGACTAATACAACATTTCACCCTTTGATTGAGATCTAGAAGTTGGTCTGTCTCCAAGGGTTGCGTCATGTTAAAATAGTATAGTAACAAACTAAAGGATGTATATTTTTTGAGGGAAAGATTGACAAGACCGGGAAATTGATGTTTATGCCCTAACTGTTACCAACAACTTGACAGCAGACGAAGTTTAAACCTTCGGAACCTTGTGAACCATGTATGGCTGGTCGTATGCATTCGCAGTTCACACTACGTCGCAATTTCTCCTGCAATGTATCATATGCGAATTATTCACATATTTTACAGTTTTAATATTCGTTCTATACTGCAGCATACTGCAGCGATACCACAGCGATCCCAAGATAGGTATGTATTCGGGAACGAGCTTTAATGAAACTTTTTAGAAAGTGAAAGTTTCCAAAAGACTGTGAGAAGAAGAGTCTTGCAGTTCATGATTTTGAAGAAGAGTTTTCTGGTTCAAAGATCCCTTCCACATTCCAAATGTACGAAGCAACGTTAGTTACCGAGTCGCAGCAACAGGATTTCAAAAACTGTCGGAAACTGAAAACTGGACATGGACAACACTTCGCGATGCCGGAGCAATCCAAATAGGAAGACGCCAATACCCGCGATGTTTCCTCTTCGAACCTCCGTGCCTTACGAGACTGAATAAATCGGTGTGGCTGGAACAGAAATTATATTTATAACAAATACGTGGAAAAATTAGCACTTTGAATTCATTGCTACAAGGACTTTGCATTTTCTAATATTTCCTCATATTCTTGACAACATTCTCGAGACTAAGGGAAAATAGACTAACTTGGAATCGAATACAAATGCAGAAAATTAGGATAACAAAGATGAAATAAGCAGCAGATACAAGTAGTACAATAGTTACGAGTGCGATTTCCATACCAAAGATATTCATCAGTAATAATGCAAGTCTATGAAAGCTGGATATTTCCATGGTAACATGATCCCTAACCCTCCTCTTCATTTAAAACGGAAAAGGTTAAGAAGTCCACTTTCAATATTATGGGATATTTCAGCAGCTCGACAAGCTTCAACAAATAGGAATCAGAAACGGGATTGGCATCTGATTTCAGCCGTTATTTTCATTCACAATTTTAGTTAATTAGTTTCAGTTCTTTAAAGAATTTCCCGTCACTCATTTATCTCTGTTATTCCTTACGTCTCTCAATTATTTCATCGTTGATCGGTGTCTAAGCGATATGTCCATATTAGTATTCCTTTCAGTGAGTTAAGATTCAATTTCTGGTTACTTTAATGAATGATACTTCCAGATTCTTGGACTTGACCATCGGCAACTTCTCAATGGCTCTTTTCATCCAGTTATTATGAGCCTGAGCTGCCTGAGCCGTGAAGTATTAATCGGCGCAAAAGAGAGCTTCTGGCGAAATTCAAGGGGTTTCTTAGGTGATTTCTGTGTTATTATTGAACTTCTAGACTGCATTGTATGATTTAATGTTGTAAACTTTCCAGCTTCGTCTTGAGTTAATTACGTTTCAGAGTTGCAGCCAACCGCAGTATTTGTAATTATATATTGTTTCCAAGGTACTTTATTAAAATGTATTCATTTTCGAAAAAAAATTCTCGTTCATGATTTTTTTTCCTCCATTTACTGAAGTTGTGCGTTCTCGAAACATTATAGTTGTATTTGAGATTTGAAACAAATGGCATCATCATCGGAGCAATTCTCAACATCAGTTATATTCAACGATCAACAACGTGACCTCATTCATCACGTTGCGTTCGATTTTCACGGACGACGGATTGCTACATCATCCAGCGATATGATGGTGTGTGTATGGAATTTGTCACCAGATGGTAGTTGGATTAAATCCGCGTCATGGAAGGTGTGTGCGATTGTTTTAGATTTAACTTCCTTTGACTGATCATTTCATCGATGATTTCGATTACTTTTTAATAAGGAAAGTATGAAATGCTGTGCTTCAGTCATGTTTGATGATTTTCAATGCTCATGACATTAACAAAAAGTGTTGGATTTGTATCTGACTAATTACAGTTATTATAAATGGAAAGTGCTATTTGCATTATGCCATTACAGAGCCATGGCGGACCTGTATGGAAAGTAATTTGGGCACATCCTGAATTTGGACAAATTTTGGCTACATGCTCATTTGATCGAAGTGTAACGATATGGGAGGAAACGGGTTCTGTAAATCCCTATGCTCATAATTTATTAAACTACATTTAGTAAAGCCTATAATATTTATCAGTAAGGATGATTTATTTTCGCGTTATGAAGGATAAATACGATTGATTCAAATCTAACTTCCATTGGTCATTCCATCTCACCTTTCATTGATCATCCCATTTTACCAATGAGATGATTAATCAAAGAAAGTCAAATATGAACCAGTCGTAATTATCTTCCATAACGTGCATTTAATCCAGCCACCATTTGATGACAAAGTTCATAACACATCATTATAACACTGGATGAAATAGATCCATTACGTAAGATATACTAATCTGAGTTCAAATTTCGACTAAAATGTATAGAAAATATAAAATACAATATACAAATTCAAAAAAAAATAAAGTAAACCAGTTCAATTTCCTGAATGCAGATTAAATTATTTGCTTCAAATTTGAAGGTAAAAACATTGTATTGCAGTACGTCAACCGGTCAAGACAATAACGAGAAATAGTATTCACAGTGCCCAGAAACCGCAACAAGCACGTTGGAAACGTTGTTGTCAACTCGTTGATAGTCGTCATAACGTTACTGATATCAAGTTTGCTCCAAGGCATCTTGGATTAATGCTTGTAAGCAACAGTACTGAGTATTTGATACACTTCGTCTTATTCACCAGTGCTTTTTTAAGGCTTGAGAATGCATCAATCAAATTTCAATCAGGACTAGATTTTCTTCAGATTTCATTGAAATGCTAACTTAAAAGCTGGATTTGACGTATGAATTTGACGTGAATATATAGTTATTTTTCGTTTTAGTGAAAAAAAATTTTTTTTCGTTTTAATTCGTTTTAGTGTCATTTTTCGATTTAGTTATTTAATATGATTTATTTATAGGCGACAGTATCTTCCCAAGGAATATTACGAGTGTACGAAGCTCCAGATATTATGAATTTATCTATGTGGAGTCTGAATCAAGACATAGTCGTTTTTCGATACCGCTGCAGTTGCCTGTCGTGGAGTACACATCGTCTTACCAAACCGCTTATTGCTGTAGGATCGGATGATGCACATACAACTGGAAAACGAGTGGTTGTTTATGAATATCACGACAATCTTCGGTCTTTCTTATTAATAATTAGAGCTTATATAACACTCTTCTGTATCTTGACATCATCTATTTCGATTTTTTGGTTCAGAATTAGCGGAATTCTTGTGAACATAACACTCACTGTATGCTTTGCTGACGAGATGCATTTTTAGAAAGTGGCAGCTGTTGAATACCCCATCCTTAAAAGTAACTGAGCCGGTGACGGATATTGCTTTTGCTCCACCTGCTGGACGGTCATATCATTTACTTGCTGTTGGTTCCAAAGATATTTGCATCTTCAAGTTGAGTGAGACTGGGAAAACCGCTGGTTTTAATGTTGATTTGATTGAACGAGGTGGACCAACTGAATACGATATAACGCAATTGGAAGCACTTGAAAATCCGTCTCATTCACCTGTTCAGGTTCTCAACTATCACTGTTAATTTCTTCATGTTCTATACCATTCTTTTAATGTATCATGGCATCATGTTGAAAATGAAAAGATTTATCTCTACAATACTCCTAACTAGCTAACAGTTTAGGGAAGGTGGTTGATGGTTTGGCCTTATAACCTTTTTTACTTAATCATTAAAACTGACGATACTGTTATCTTTTGCACTGATTCAGTACAACATTTTTGACGTCACATGCAGAGTATGGCCACAAATCTGAATCAACTTTCTATGCCAACCAACAAAAATATTGCTTACTTTACTCTGTGATTACACTGTAGATATTTTCCTAGTAATTAAAATCAAAAACTTTGATAGATTTGGCGGTTGTCATGGAACATAACTGGAACAGTCTTAACAACTGGAAGTTCAGATGGATACATACGATTATGGAAAGGTAAGTAAAATGTTTTTTCATTTATGTTTTCTATCACAATTCTTTTCCATGCCATAAGGCCAAGGTAATTTGAGAAAAAAAATTCGACTTTACTTGCTTAATAAGTGGAAACTGTTTTTTAGAAAATTTATTGAAAAAATGGAGTCTTGTTGCAACGGTTAAATCAACAGAAGACTACAAACCATCTGATGATGATCCGAGAGCTACAACATCAATAAGTTCACTTACCAAAGAGAATCATGTATATTATTGAATATATATGTTGCATTGTTTGCAGTGAATATGTTTTGCCTTTGTGACTTTTTGATTTGGCCGAAGAACTCTATGCAATTACAGATTATTTATAGTGAATTATTCATTCTTTTTTGTCATGAGACAACATGCATATTCCCGAATTTAATGTTAGTGAAAAACAAAGGAAAAAGGAGGAGGAGGAGGAGGAGGAGGAGGAGGAAGAATAACCAGGAAGAGACCAGTTGTCGCAGGTGTTGTTGATGGTATTCTAAGAATTCTTGCTTTTTATATGATAAATACACGATCGTCAGTTAATCAACAGATGAAGACACTTTTGCTACAATTATAATCACTCATTAATTAATTTTTAGAGTACAATTTCTATCAAGAAATTATTAATATAGATTTTGTAAGACATATTCCTCCCATAATTGATAAAGTGTTTTCAATACTGCAGAGATCCTCACGTTAACTGGCGAGGAAGATATATATATATATATATATACTGACAATACCTTTCATGTCTAATTGCGATGTCGATACATGATTACGCTTGTATCGTTAGATATTATTGCATGTATGAATGTTGTTTATAATGAGAATGGAATGTTGGCTTTCTTCTCTTTTTAAACATTGCATGGCATGACATGATTTTGTCCAATTTATTTTTTAGAGGGAAGTTTTCAGTGCCATAGCGTGTTCATGAACTCATATGGATGGCACATGAATTTGAACAATTTTTGGTCAATTATCGTGTCGTAACCGTTGCCATTTCGTCGAGATGATTTATGATGTGCTTGATTCTGTGAACCGATTGCCGATAGTGCCATTGCCCTCCTTCTTTTTATTACTAGTGTCCTTCCTTTTACTTTTTTCCCGATCATTTCCTTCGCCTTCACCTACAGATATCATTCTCACTAATAAGTTGTTTAACACTACCTATACTTCTTTATTCATTCACACTCTTCCCGAACTTTTTTATTTCCAAGTTTTTCTTTTTTTTGTTAGATGGTATTCGAAGTTTTGAGAAGGATGAGAAGAGATATATTTAACATTAGATATATTTAAAAATGACCAAAATTGACAAAATAAGTGAATATTCGCTCTAACGGGATTAAACGTTGTGATTAGGTAGCACTCAACATTCGTTAAAAATTTTGCAGCAAGATTTCAAAAAACTCTTATACTTAACGATTTAAGCCTGGAAATTTAATTAATCATAGCTGTATAATACTTTAAGTGCTGGATGAACAAAAACTCTTAGATGCTGGTGTAAGTGCATTGATTCCTTCGTGTGGTTGTTTTTTGACCGATTCTTTTCCTGCCACAATTTCTTGAATATTTTGACAAATTTAGGGAATTTTTGAATGTTAAATCATTTTCCATATAGGAAGGACTCGATTTATACTGGTAATCTGTCGAGTAGAATGGAAAATTACGAAACGCTTACTTCAAATTGGCTGAAGTGGGATAATGTATGACTTTATTCATTTTTAATTTATGGTTTAATTTTTTCCTTTTTACTCTGTTTTGATTTGATATTTTCTTACTGTGGAATATATTACGTCTCTGTCCGTTCCTTCTGTTCCTTTTGTTGATAAAAACCATAACGGTTTTATTTTTCTTATTTTTACTAAAAATATAAGGATCATATGGTGGTTTTATTCATCCTATACCACAATGATGACTTTGATTTTCAGGATTTGGAAGGGACAAAAATGTAACTTAGGTGAATAGCTGGAGGAGTATGGCATGTTGAGACATCAAGTACCATTAATTAAAGCTCAAAGTCATTTCAACAGATTTGATTTTACAGAACGAACAAAGTCATGCAGAAATTGACGAATTATGGAAGAAAAAAGATGTTGGAGAGTTGAAATCAAGAATGTGTGGCAAGCTATCGTTTGGTACAGCTGGTATGCTTTGCTTTGGGCTGGTTTCTTGTTTGAAATGAATTTCCTACTTAAAATTGACTTTCAATTTGAACAGTGTATTTTAAGATATTTTTTCGTTTCGGTAAATCTTTTCTTATTACCGAAGTTATGAATAGGACAATAGCCGGCAACAATAGCTACTATTTAAAAAAAAAAACGAAGTTTGTATTTCTTAAATTAGTTATTTCGTTTTATTTTTCCGTTATTTCATAATTCAGTTTCCTAATCCGTCCTATTGCTTGAGGATCGAAGGAAATACTGATAAGACAGAAGTGGAATTAAAAAAGTGGGACTGCTCGTACCTTAATATATTAAGACCTACTACGTCGTCATAGCATAACTAGTCTCTGAGCCATACAGTATCATTTTCCGCATCATATTAACATTGTAAAGCTAACTTTAATCAACATAACGATACTGAAAAATTGGTTTGGAATATAAAATTAAATTTTAAGTTTTTCATTTAGACATCATTTTTTTTAGCAAGGCTTTTCCAGGTGTGCGAACAAAAATGGAAGCTGGTTTCTGTCGGCTGAACGATTTGACAGTACTGATGCTCACCAGTGGTTTTGCCGCACACTTGAAAGATGTGTATAAACGTCAGAGCAGTGGTGTCGCCATTGGTTATGATGGTCGTCACAACAGCGAACGGTTCTTTACCTTTAAACTCTTCGTGTCCACTTTCTCATCTCATGCTTCCTATTTCCCTTTTGAAACAATCATATTATTTTACTGGAAAAAGAAAAGACTGAAAAGACGATATATTCCTTTGTTCTATAAAAGGAACTTATGAATTTAAAACATTCCAAAACATTGTAAATCCCTTCAGATGATTGTGTTTCTGATGATGTGGATCACCTCATCTTTGCTAATCAAAGCACGCGGTGTTTTCCTCATTCTCTCACAATTCCAAAAGTACATGTATATATGTGTACCCTAATTTCCTGCTGTGGAAAGTGTAGTAATGATGCGCTTACCTGAATTTTGTAAGAGTTTATTGATTTAATTTAATGGAGATCAATTTTTACCAGTCAGTTTATAATTTTTAGTTGGGCTACACTGGCTGCGAATGTATTTGTTCATAATGGGATCAAAGTATATCTATTTTCAAAATGTTGCCCAACACCACTTGTGGCAAGTGAATTTCTTCTTTTTTTCGTACAATAAGCTCTGCCATTTTTCTAGCTGTGTTGCAATGACAAAAGTCTTCCTAGAAAATCTAACCGTTCCAAAAGTCCAACCATTTAAATATTTTATTGACATCAACTTTTGGATCAGCAGCAATAGCGAGATAAATCATTTTGAATTGATGAAAATTACAGTCGTATGCAACAATACAACTCAAATGTGATGCTGGTTTGATGATAACAGCTTCTCATAATCCAAAACAAGATAATGGCTACAAAGTTTATTGGACAAACGGAGCGCAGGTAAATTTGTTTCCTATGGAAATAACGATGGATTGATAAAACATGGTATTTTGAGGTCTAAAAAAAACTGCTTAATTTAAAATTTTGAATTCCACTTGGAATAATTTAGTTTATAGTGTTGAATCTCATCTCATATTTCAGTTTGTGATCCGTATATCAATGTATGATATTGATACGCACATTGGAAGGAAAAGAAATGATTTTAGAGCACTGTCAATTTTTCTGCTTTTAGTGAGTGATGAGTGAATTCAGTTAAAGACAAACCTTTGAAAAAGTTGAACTCACAAAAGACACATCATTTGGGATTAGTGTTCCCTTTTATATGGAATATATGTTTAATGTATAGATATTGGCACCTCACGATTCGGAAATATGTCGACTTGCTTATGAAAATATGGAACCAAAGCCGGAGTATTGGGATATATCAAAACTTTCAGCCCATTCACTTTCACATTCAGCTGATCCCGTAATAGAAAAATATTTCGCCGAAGAATTGTCCTTGTGTCGTTATAAGTAAGTTACATATTAATCATTATAAGTAATTTACGTATTTAAAGGGGGTACTAAACCATTCTGGGTTAATAAATTGTTAAACATTAAAAACAGAACGAAGGTCAGCTAAAATGCTGGAAAAAATCAATTGGGACCAACTGATTTTATTGGAAACTTTAGCTTCCTGGATAAAAGAAATAAAGCTTGAGTAAAGTATGTGATTGAGCGACTCTCTAAACCTTTGATTTAATATTTGGATTTCAATATATGTTAATTATAATTCATAAGAATTTTGAAACTCTACCGATTTAGTCATTGGCTAAAAAGACGTAATTTAGTAAACATTAACAAATTTAATACCGGTTTTAATTTTGTTCGTTTTTTGGTTTACTGTACAAAAGTGTGCTCAAAATTAAAGATAAATATAGTGTTGTTATTGATATTTTTTGTAGGGGAAAATAAGTATTTGTATAAACAACTTTCGATTGACTTGTGGGTGGTGATATAATGTTTTGGAATTAAAAACTATGTACAAAATATGCATGTTCGCTTATACCGAATTCCACAATGTGATGTTGGCCTATCACAAAATCATGCATTTTAATGGTACATTTTTTCGGAGAAAACAAACTGTATATATTTTAATTTATAATACATGATTTTAAAACAGGTCTCTGAATGAAAAATGTCCGATAAAATTCACTTATACCGCATTCCATGGCGTTGGAGTACCGTATATGATAAGGATGTTGAAAGATTTCGGATTCCCATCTGAAAAGATAGTTATTGTAAAGGTATGAAGTAACTATGTTCCTTGTTGGTTTTTAATTAATACTCTGCCAATGTTAACTGGTAAAAAAAATTTTTCCAGGAGCATGCAGAGCCAAATCCGGACTTTCCAACATTACCATTTCCAAATCCGGAAGAAGGTCAGAAAGTGTTCACAATACCTATAGCAACAGCTGATAAACATAATTCTAACATAATTTTGGCCAACGATCCAGATGCCGATCGTTTTCAGTTAGCGGAAAAACAGCCCAAGTACTAAATTTATCGAACCAATCGTTGTTTCATTCAATCGCAATTCAGTTCACTTCACTTTTTATGGGAATCTACCATTTAGCTGACTACCTTATGATACGGAAGTGGCTGTGGTAGAGTGTGGTGCATAGCTGGACATTATTAAGCAGTTCATATATCTCATTGGGAGACATCCGTCATAGACCGGGGACTGGGTGACTGAACAGCGCGGATGATTCTGATAAAAATTGCAAATGGCCGAACATCTTCGTTATATGGGCATTGTGAAGGCTAAGCAATAGTTTTTCAACTACTAGTTAATTTGTCGGTGGAACTGATTGTAAATCAATTTTATTTTCTAATTTTTTAAATTTTAGAGGTGAATGGAAGATTTTCACGGGGAATGAAATGGGCGCTCTGATTTCGTGGTGGATTTGGCATTGCTGGCGAGAGCAAAATCCACAAAAGGATCCCTCAAATCTGTACATTATAAACAGTGCTGTTACGTCTTCGATAAGTCGTACTATTGCTACCAAAGAAGGTAATTATAGATGTCTAAAGAGATCGACTTTTAAAGAGGAATATCCATATGCGAACTAACACTGGACATTTTCTATTGTTTAAAAACATTTTCTACTGTTTAAGAAGCAGAACTCTAGATTCAAGTTGAAACTCAAATTCAGAATCGAATTTCTTTAGAAGTTACTATAGGTATCCTAGAAAATATAATCCTTCTCGCTTACCAATACCTCACGGTTGATAGAAAGAAAAAAATACCCAGCGTACTTTGGAACATATGGCTATAGTAAACGAATATAAAATGTGATCAAGCAGTTTCAAGCTATGTGAAACCATAGTCGATGACTTGAATGGAAAGTAAAAAATGAAGTTCAAATTCATTTCAGGTTTCAAAACTGAACAAGGTTTAACGGGATTTAAATGGTTAGGAAATAAAGCGGATGAGCTTCGCCGTCTTGGGAAAACTGTGCTGTTCGCATGGGAAGAATCAATTGGTTTCATGCTGGGGCATGCTCTTGATAAAGATGGTATTACTGCGGCGGCAACATTTGCTGAATTGACATCTTATTTATATTCCAAGCAATTAACTCTTGCTGAACAACTCCTCAACATTTACAGCGAGTTGGTCTAAATATATTAAAAATTGATCCAGTTACGACACAAAAGTGAAGTTCTTGAGGAAAAAATTAGGTTATTGCAGACATGAGTAAGATATCAGTAACTCCAACTTTTTTTCAAAAGGAACACCTAGAATATTAAGTAACAATAAGATTCGAATATTTCTTTAACCTTCCTGCTTATTTCGGAAAGTAAAAGACCCATTATTATAGATATGGTTTCCATCTGATTAGCAGTTCGTATTGGTTTGTACCCAATCAAACAACTATGAAGAGCATTTTTGCAAAAATGCGAAAGGATAATAAGGTACTATTTATTTTAAAACACTGTTCCATGAGAAGTACAGTTTACATTCGTAACTACAATAAAAAAAAAAACCTCCTGACGAATTTAATGACCTATGAAATCGGTCATAATTCTTCTGCGAATCTAGACTGTGTTTTTATCAGTAATTAAAGGAGCAGGAAAAAAGATAAAACATTCTGGTGGTTAGTATGATGCGCTTCTTTAGAGAATCCCGTTATCAACGGTATTCGGGGTGCACTTAGTATCATGAGACATCCTACACTGAATGATAATTTATCTAGTGAAAAAAAAAAAAACTGAAATGAATGCATCTTTGAAATTTCAGTATCCTCAAAAAATCGGGAAACTGGTTGTTAAATATGTGCGTGACCTGACGGTTGGGTATGATAATGAGCAACCTGGAAATAAACCAGCAAGTTTTACTTATTTTTTAAACTAACATCATCTACTCACTTCTGGTGTTTTTTATTGGACTACATTCTAAACATCTTATTTCATCTGTCTCCTTCATCTCATATTGCCAATGTAACTGACGGTTTCCTACTCTTTATAATAATTACAAATAAATATTCGTCATATACGATGAAGAATAGATTACGATAATTGTACGACTATCTTAAGATTTGTACATTTTGTATGTTACATTTTGCGTGATATAGAAAATTAGGCTTCAAAAAGACAACAAATCAAATACTAAATATAAGAAGAAATTGGATTTTATATTCATTGAGAAATACAGTTATAGATAAAGCAATAATCCGAATTCGCCATATTGCAATAATCACAAATGGAGAGATTATGGCAGTTTGATCATTTTAATATAAAGATCAAATGAAGACATTTAATTGTTGGATACCAATTGAAGATTAAGGTTTCATCTCCTCCGATAATTGGTTGTTGAAGTGATAATGATGGTGTTCTGCGATACTGATTGTGGTTTGCGGAAACTTTTTTCTGTTACAGATTCTTCCACTCAGTACTTCATCCGAAATGATTACATTCACATTATCGGACGGTAGTTGGACAACAATACGGGCAAGTGGAACTGAACCAAAGATCAAATATTATATTGAATTTAAATCACCACCAGGCAAAACGAAGAAGTACATTCTTATGCCTTTTTTTGCTTCAAGTTATGAGACAACAGAGTTAAAGGTAAGGGAAGAAAGTAAGCCTAAAAATATAGAGGTAGAAGATATTATGCCTCATTCCAAGTGCGTTATTGATGACATCAATCATCGATAATGCCATTCCTTCGCCTTATTACTCAAAACCAGCTATTTACTTTATATTCCTTCCAAAAATTTCATTAAAAGGAATAGTTTCAGAGACTTAGTTGATGTACAGAAACAACTTGCTGAACTAGAGCAAGCAGTAATTGACAATTTGTTGGAGCCAAGAATCAATGGCCTGATTGCAAGATGCTAAAGTCATACGATCAGTATTGTCTTTCACTAACTGCATTGTCCTCATTTTTGTTGTCAAATAATAGAAATTTCGAGTTTTATGACATTTGGAATTTCAAGAGTTTTGAACTCCTACTTCATTATAAAATAAAAACCTAATCTGTTTCAATTCTGCTACGAAACTAGGAAGTAATTCAATGAAACCAGGTAAGTAGTGGGAGACGGTCATTCTGGTTATACATATGGGCAGAAAACTTTAGTTGAAAGTATTTACTTCGAATAGATATAATATTGTCAATTCACTCAATTACAAATAGATCCGAAATCCATTTTCTTGAAATTTTTCGAAATTTGCATAGAAGCTTGCACTTTGTTAGTACATTCTCCATTTGATATTTGTTGGTTTGATTTGTTTTAATCATATATAACTTATGATTCCACAATTATCATTGTTGTCACTATTATTGATTGCTAATTGGTACTTTAAAAATTAATAAAAATGAAAGGTCAGACTACAAATATCACATGAGCAAGAGCGTGGGATAAGGGAACTCAAGCTATGGTGATTGTATATACCAATCATCATACCATAAGTACGATAAATTGCCTGTTTTTTTTTTTGACTACACTAAGATAACTAGCAATGAATTAAATAGATTGGTCTGTGTAATGCCTAATTCATCCACCTGAGTGGCATATAGTCCTACGATTTCACTACGAGATAACTATTACCAAGCGGTATATATTGCTGAGAGTGGTATGATAGCCACCTTAACCCCAGAAAAACACAAGACAGATGGCATGGAACTCTTTTAGCTTGCGACCCGCGGGGGATGAATTTATTGCACTATGCTACAGCGTTGTCAACCCTGCGTCATTCCATAAGTTCAAAGCGATGTCTGAAGTATATAACTTTTGGTTTGATCTTTTGAGATTCTCACGGTGTAACTTTCACGGTGGTGACTGCGCTATGGCCACTTGATATTTAACTATCCTGGTCATATTTGTTATTGTTTTTTCTCTTTCCTCCTTCTTCTCTCCCTCCTTTTTTTTCTCTCTTTGGTTTTTTAATTAGATTAAACCGAGCAAATCTTTATCATTCCGTTCTAAATAGGAATAAGAATCGTTATGTCAGTAAAGACATTAATCAGTAAGAATCACTGTAGTGATAATAAAAGTTTGTTCTGTAGTGTAAATTTCTTGTCTTTTTCAGTCAGATTCAATTATTGTGAAATGTAAAGACAGTGGCATAGCAATGAATTCGACGAGATTTTTCTTTGAAAAAAATCAGAGCTAATTAACTGGTGAGCCAAAAGTTGAACGTTATCACTGATAGTACAAAAATGGGGTTCTTTTCATCTGGAGGTAGCGGGAAATATTTACATGTCAAAGTAAGCACTATGGATGCCGACCTGGAGAAAATTACTATCGAGGTTTGTTTATTTATTTGATCGTTGTAATGTTTTACGTATTATTGGACTGCTGATTTCTGTGGTTGCTGGAGTAACATATTACTGGATCACTTGATTAATAAGTTAATGCATCACTGGAATATTATGGGATCAGTAATTTACTGGATTGATTTTTTTTATTTTTTATTTTTTACTATCAAATTATGACGTTTTCAAATCACTAAATTTGCTGCGTTGTCAGGTTAATAGTACTGGGTATACTCGTCTAAGAATTGGTAGAAGAATATTTGGACGGGGAGAATTATTAGGTTAGATTATTAAGTGCAACTATGTCAAGCTACTTTGTCTTTGGTTTACTAGTTTTATTAGTTTGTCAGATTGCCGGCTTACCAATCGTTATTCAAAAAATATATAAGCATTTAAAAACTCAAATAGTTAGCTTCTTCATTCCTTTTCTCATTCATCACAACAAAGGACTTTGCTGTCTATAATGATAACAAAAATGTGTTAGAATAAATAAATATGTGTCATAGGTAATGTTTATATGATTTAAGAAGAAAGTATGTACGTTAAAATCATGTGAATCTATTACCAGTGGATCCCGTCCAGCAAAGTTCTTTTATCATTTGATTTCATTTTTTCTTTTAACCTCACCCTTCTCTTGATTTTTGAATTTTAATGTTATCTAACACAGTAGATATTAAAAAATTCCTGCAAGAAAAAGTATTCACCAATGTAGTCATATTAGATAGAAAAACTTAAAATTTCAAGTTGATCTGGAGTATACTTTGTATGCTGTTACTATGGGTTTATTAAATTTCTGCTTCCATTTATAAATTGAAAATTGCTTGTATTTAAATTTTTGTGTCGCTTCTAATGTTCTCGCAGAATTTTGCAGCCAGACTGTACAGGACGACAGCTGTTTGATACAGTTTGCAGGATTATTGGTCTAAGGGAGATTTGGTTTTTTGGTTTACAGTTTGTGAACAAGAAGGGGATTCCGTGCTGGCTACAAATGGATAAAAAAGTTTGTTTGATTTCATTGCTGCTATATGTCGTGTTTTCGACATTAATTGTCAAAAATTTTGCATGCTTTAAATTACATGTTGTACATGAGCGTTTCGCTAAATAAGTGGGTTTTCGATACATGTTATTGCCAAAAAAGATTTTAAAAAAGATTCATTTTTCGAACAAATTTGAGAATATTTTTGCACTTTTGACCATCGATGTACTCCTAAATTATTTGTTAAGTATAACATGTTCACCATTAGTACAACTTCATTTCGGATACAGTGGTGTTTTTGTTCTCATAATGCCAGCCATCAGATTGCTTCGCTGCTCATTAGACTTTCATTTGTTATTTATTAATTGCTTAAATTTTAGATAAATAAACAGGAAGTGCCAAAGCAGGAAGATGGTTCGATACATCTCATATTTCTTGTGAAGTTTTATCCGGAAGATGTCGAAGAAGAACTGATACAGGATATAACGCGTCATCTTTTCTTCCTTCAAATCAAGCAAAGTATTCTAAGTATGCAGCTATATTGCTCCGCTGAAGCATCTGTTCTTCTTGCATCTTATGCTGTACAGGCAATTGTGAGTTTATATTATATCTGCAAGAAATTGCTAATTTCGAGACTTTTTTTGTAGATGTGCTCTGTAGTTGGAATGGATAACGCGCTAGTAGAGTTGCTTCTCTTTGTTTTTGAAAGAATTTCGCAAAGTTATGAATTAAAGAAGTGTAAGTTATTCAGCAAGGTGACTGTGTGGCGAGTTCGAAGTTGCAGTTAAGTGAGTTATTGCCAGAATGTGTAATCAAACAGTACGATATGACACCACAGATGTGGGAGGAGCGCATCAAACGATGGTGGATAAATAATAGTGGACAAAGCAGGTAATTTTACATATCTATGATTTTTTTTACTAGTGGGAGTTCAGTTAAAAACATTCGGTTCTTGTATTAAATGTGCTGCTGCTAGAATATGTAATTAAACAGTACGATATAACGTACGATATAACACCATAGATGTGAGAGGAACGCGTTTAGATCATTTAGTTCATACTTTTATTTCTAGAACTGTGTTACTCGTGGGTAGTCTTGATATAATTTTCGGAAAAATAAGTCAAACAAAAAAAGAAAAAAAAAGAAGGAAAAAATGGTAGTGTTACAGGGAAGATGCAGAAATGGAATATCTACGGGTTGCACAGGACTTAGAAATGTATGGAATTCAGTACTATCCCATATGTGTTAGTTTTTTAAGACTTCTTAAATATTTCACCATATTTGCTGTCTAGTTACTTTAAATTAATCGGAAAATATTTTATTGTTTACTCTGTTATCACCTTTCTGTAGCGAATTTTGTTCGGGTTTGTTTGAGAGGGTGATGTAGGAGACCACTATTGCCAGCGATTTTACGTGAGATATCGTCGTTGAGTTGGATTGAGTTGATGCAAACACGATGAATTGAGTTGAGTTGTACACGCACCAGATTG